AAGGATTTTTTAATTCAATACTAAAAGTAGTTAGCACCTTTTAAAATTCCTTAATTTCTGGCAAATAATAAAAAGAAGGCGGCATATAAAGTTTAATTCTTTTTCAGACCTGAATAATAAAATTTTTAACTTTAATCTTTTCAGGAAATTCTAAAGTAAAACTTTTTAATGATGATCGTAAAAATATTGTTTACAATGTAGGAACAAACGTCTGATAATTATTTTCCTGAATGAAAATGCTATTGCAAAGATTTGGAGACTTACTTTTTGCAGTACTTTTTAATAATGATAACAAAATTCTTGTTATGACTTGGAATCAAATGGCAATGTAAAAAAATTACGTCATTTTTTGTTTACTTGAAATAAATTTTATAGGAATAGCTTCTAGAAGTTTTTGTATTAGCGAGCAAAAAGGTGGTTTTGTGGCAACTTCGGAAATTCGGTCAACATCACGAACTACAATCGTTAAATGCCTTTATTTTAAAGGTATGATGATGTGCTGTCAAAAGAGAATAGAATCTATGGGGTTGAAGCATGTGGAGGCAAAATTACCAGTCCTAGAATAAAGCATTTAAGACTGAGTGATTAGCTTTCAGTAACCACCTTTTGTAAGTAGGTCTGGGTTTGAATCCCACCAGAAATCAAATTCTCCACTATTATATAGTTTTTTCGATGTGACAAAATTTCGCGCTATGCCAAGGACATTACAGATAAACCTCCTTATTCGCAAGGAAGACTCTTCAAATATCTTAAAAATAATAACAATAATAATCTTTTATCCAAAGATTCACAATACATCATTTTACTATAAAAAACAAGAAATTGTCTAGACATAATTAAATTTCCAGCTACCATAGGCCTCAGCAATTCAACCAGAATACAGCAGACAAAAAGAAAAGATTTTCCAGGCCTTAGAAAAGCCATGAAAAGTCTCCAACAATTTCATTAATTTTCCTTCCGTTAGTCATTCCATTTTCATGTTCTCCTCCTTTGATTACTCAGCAGTAAAAGTCAAGAAATTAAACAAAGTCTATGACGAAAAGAAAAAAACTCATTTTTTATCGCACGTAAAACTTATGTCATCAAATAAAACCTCAATTAAGTCTCATGACAAATGAGAAAAAAAAAGCAAAAGTAAATAAAATTATTCATCGCTATAAAATTATCGCAATCTCATTAAAGATAATTTATAATGCCGACAGTAAGAAGCAATTCTGATAGAAAGGAAAGGTTTTTCTGTGAATCCCGGATCTGACGATTGATGGGCGCATGTCTAAAAGTTTAGATACATTTCTATATGTGCTGAAGATAGAGCAAGTACATAAGAAATACCGAAAAATATATTATGTACGTGACCTTACCATATTCTGTAGATTTTATGTATTAAATTCTATTAAAATTATTTTTCATCATGCAGCATAGCTTAAAAACCCACAACATTCACTCACTCTCGGTCGTCTATAATGTGCCATCCTGATGCTTATAAATTATTGATTTTTTCCTTCATCAACCCACAACCATCAGCTTCAATGTTTACTCATCTCTCAATTCAGTCCATAAAATGACATAAAAATATATTCATGCTTGAAAAAATGCCTTGCCTGGATTTTAATACATCCACATACAGACAACAAAATAGAAAGTTATTATTTTGCAATTTTAATTACTTCCATTCATCAATGAATGAATAGCCTTCAACTATGAACTTTAAATGGCTCTCTTTTTCTGTTGTTTTCATTATTCACACAAAAAAAATTTTTTTGTCGTGCATGTCTCCATCTCCCTTACCCACACCGCAACATTTTCTACGTAGTTCGTAATATTTTTCGGAAATTGTTTGTTGTTTTTATTCCATTTTCAGCTCCAAAATACATTTTCATGTTCTTTGGTATGAGGCTTTATGTATGTGCTGTATATACTGTGTGGGGGGCTGGCTGGGTGGAAAAAGGAACACAAAAATGTTGTCGGAATATAAATGATTCATAAGTTTTAATGGAATTTTTCGTATTTTCCACTTCTCATTAAGGAAGTTCCTCTTTTTTTTGAAGAGCGTGCGGAACTTTTATTTTTCTTGTGTTAAACTTTTTTGATTAAATTCATTTTTATCGATTTTTCTTCTCTCCTCACACTTGCTGTCGTGGATGTCTATGTCGTGTGTAAATTTTTCATATTTATGGATGTAGATTTATTCTTTTAAGGAGGTGAAGGAATTTCTCTCTTTAAAAAAGATTTTCTGTTTAACTTTAATTTTGTTGAGTCAACGTTGTGGAAAATGGATTGAATTTTAATGCCTTTGACATGGGGCTTGTTGTGAGGGATTTTGAAGGTGTTTGTAGACGGATTTAAATTTGCCTTGTTTGCTTATAGTTTTTAAAAGGTTTTGAACTTGAAATTCAGGATGTTTGCATTGTTGAGGAATTCAGGGAAGTTTGGTCAATTCTAGTGAATTATGTCTGTATTGCTGTTTTGGGAAAACATATGAATTTTTAAGAATTTTAAAGCTGCAAATTTTAAATAATTTGATAAAAATTTTGATTGATATTTTTCAAATTTTAGACATTTTGAGGGAGTTCTTTGAAATATCGAGTTCAAGACAACATGATGAGAACTTTATAAGATTGTTGGTCAGAAATGACTGAAGGAACCTCGAATTATTTCTATTTTGAGCCGTCAATTCCTCAAAAGTCCAGTCAATACCAATCATCAATTTTTAAATCCAAATCAGCCTTCCCAAAAACTCAAATTATTCAAATTTACAGCTTTATATCCTCTAGTCACATCACAATTCTCCCCACACCTCCCATTTCCTTTATCAATTCCTGAAGTCTTCATTTACATTTATCGATCGATTAAGCAAAACTTTTTTTAACTCTTATTTCCTTGGAACTAATGAACCTTAACACACACAAGCCATGAAAAAAATGTTGTTCATTAATTTTTAACGAGAAATAGAATTGTTTTAGGCTTTGCCGAGAAGATTAATGAACCTTAATATTGTGTGTACGTTTAAGTGGAAGGGAAAATGAAGGCAAACAAGAATTATTGATGAATGTTGTGGAATTATTTATGAATTTAGTTGGAGAAGTCTGTGGAATCTAGACATGGAATAGAATTGAAATTTGAGATATAAAAATAGACGATCATTAAAGGTGGAATTAGAATTGACATATTTTTTTTTACTTCTTGAAGATATCAGGTTGTTGTTGTTGAGGAATATATTAAAGATTTAAGAGGTTTAATGGACTTTTTGTGTGATTTATTGAGGAACTGAGGTTGAATGATGAATTTTTAAGTTTTATTGAGTATTGAGGTTGTTGACTGGTTGCGGATTTCGACTTTGTGGATTGTGGAGCCTCTTTTGAGGTTCTAGAGTTGTTTTTCATTTTGGAATGCAAATTTTGAAGCTGAATGTTTGAAATTCCCAGGCATTTTAGTCATATCTTCACGTTTTGTCTCCAAACATGTTCCCAACACATGTGCAAACTTCAAAATTCTCAGAACAATAAAAACTTAAGTCATGCTTCCACAAAAAACTCATACGCTAGGCACCAACAGTCAAAATACAAGAATAAAATTTTATTGCGGATAAGACGCGTAAAAATGGAACAAGAAATGAAGACACGACCCATTGGACTGACTTTTATTGCCAATTCTCATTCTTTTTAAATATATAAGCCCTTAAAAAATCTAGAAAGCCGACATAGTCACAAAATTTATGTCATCCAACGAATTTTCATTCCCTTCTACCCGAATGACTTATAAAATATTTATAGATTACAAAATTTCTATAAACTCATTCCGAAAAAATTTCTTTTTTAACCATAGCGAAAAAAAAACAACTTCGAAGGTCATTTTTTTACGATACGGTTTGTGAATTAACTTTTTTCTACATTCATTGTTGCTGCTCTACAATAATTTATTAATTTTTTTTTCAAGCTTGTCGCTTGTTGTTGCTATATAATGTGGATATATTGCGCTCTCGGAAATGTTTTGTATTTTTTTTTATTTTATGTACAAATGAAAAAAAATTAAATTGAGGCAAATGAGCACATAAAACAATTTTTTACTTGCTCGTGTTTCAAATACATAAGAAAAGGAAATAAAAATTGTCATGGCAATAGAATGTAGTAAGGAATTTTATTTTCTTTACCCTCCAACCGTTTCACAATAGAACGTGAGTGACTTTTATTTTATTAGTATTATTCATGTAAATAAGGCACAGTGAATAGTTATGTTGTGTATTGTCTTAAAAGTATCAATCAACGAGAGTTGTGGAACTTAATATTGAATTGTTTCAAGGTTGAGATGAATTTAGAATGAATTGGATTACTTTAAAGAGAATCTAGAGATTTTGGATTAATTGGCTTCTTCGTCATAATGGATTGCTGTCAATTGACTTACAGTAATACTTAAAAATTGAAAGCTTCAAAATATATGAAAGTTTGTACATAACTTAAATGAAGAATGACACAAAAAAAGAATTACTGATTACAAATAAATTTTCGTTATTGATTTATTTGAGATTCGGACTCTCACAATTTTTGAAATTTTAATTATTTTATTAAAATTTTGAATTAATATAATTAAAATGATGCAAAATTACCTTATTATTGACGGTGGATGTCAGAATATAGAAATATGCCATCAAACATTTTGCAATCGTGATTTTAGGGATTAAGAACATGTCATTAATCATTAAACTAGAAAGTTTGGAAATATATGCTTGAAATAAGTTCAGTTCAAAACTTTCAGTCATGAATCATTGTGCTGGTTAGCACAAAGCAGTCGAGATCAGCCATCAAATCAAATATACTTGGAATGCAAATGCACACCAAACTTAGTATGGTTACTTAATAGAATCTTGGTTTTGTAAACCTTTCAAATCTCCACATAGATCCCAAATTAAAGTTCAATCTTATATCAATGTTCGTACAATCATTCGTCAACCCACAAATCGAACAAACCCCAAAATCCTATTATAAAAAAAATACGAAACTCACCGATGGACTTCATTGATTCCGCCACTAGCATTGTTTCGCGGTTGGCTATATTGTGACATTGAATGCGACGTGTGTTGTGGTGGTCCAGCTGATGTCGTGCCTCGCACACCAGACAAGTCTGATTGAGGCTGCTGTGCTGATTGTTGGCTTGTGCCAACCTGATGTGACCGAATTGCTGCTTCCATTTCATTCCGACGATGTCATCTTTTTAACCTGTTTCTTAGCACACTTTTTTTTATTTCTTATTTTTTTCTTTATTATTATTATTTTCAATGACCTTCTCACTAAACTTCTTATAGCGATTGATTCTGCACATTCAGCATTGAACTTTATTCACTTTTTATTTTTCACCACAAATGATTTTTTTTTATCTTCTTCTTTTCTTTTCTTTCTTTAAATTTCAATTTAAATGAATGAAACACAAAAGGAAACAAAAAATTATTGATTTAAAAAAAGTTTTTTTGTGTTTAAATGATTGTAAATTAAATTAATGAATTTAAAACTTAAAAAAATTGTTTTTCGTGTTGGATTTTCAACTATTTTTTCTCATTAATCAACACATTTTTTTCACTGATCTCTCCTTTTCGTAGGTTGTAAAATGATGAATTCTTTTTGAAGTTGCTTTAATTTTTTTTTGTTATAATTTCTTTTTTAGAAAATTTTACTTCTTTTAAATTTAATATCACAATTATTTTTCATTTATATTTACAAATTGAAAAGTTTCAGGTTCTTTTTGTATTCTTAACCTTGCTTTGTTACCGAAACTATTCACAAATCTATTTTTTAATATTTTATTTCTTTCTTATATTACATTAATTATTATTTTTACATAAAAAACTTATATATTTCACTTTTATGGGGGATTCTGGAAAGAGAGAAATTAAAAATATTTTCATGGTTAGCAATTTGAGTTTTTAAAAAGTTTTTTTTTAAATTTATTTATGACAGTTAAGATTTTGTCACTATTTTTTTAAATTTATTTTGTTTTGAAGGAATCGAAAAAAAAATATTCACGAAAGTTTTTGAGTTCACAGGTAACATTTTTCACTATCACTGATTATTATTTTTTTTTTGAGCCTCATTTTGAGGTAGAAAATTCATAAAACAATTCAATTTCAAGCTATATAGCTATCTATCCTCTCCATTATTTCTTTCTTAATATTGTGTAATGTAAAGTTTTTTCATTAAATTAAGAATTTAATAATGAAACTCAATTTTCAAAAAAAAGTATCTCGAGTAGCACAAAGGAGGCTAGGACAGCCACGTGGACTCTTAAATCAGAGTTTCTCAAACTTTTTAGTGCACTGAGCTGGAAAGGAGCAGTAAATAATCTGTTTATGTTTCCGTGCGACTTTGACAACCACTATTGACATATTTAGAATTTTTTCACATTACATTAAATCTTCGCGGAACATATTTTGAGAAACACTGTCTTAAACAGTCATAAAATGGAACCTTGTGTCAATCCATTAAGGTAAGCCAAACATAGCATTAAAAGTATAACATCAATATATTAAATAATTGATTCTGGCATGCAAAAGAATTCACATCCAATTGATTTTTAATAATCACATCTCATCAAAAATAAGAATTCATTCTTCCCGTCATTAAACTTATCCTCAATAATTTAATATAAAATTCATCCCAAAGTACAGTAAGAAATTGACGGAAAGTTAACGGTTATTGAAATTCAGTAAATAAGAAACTTCCTACGAGTCCAAAAATATGCACATAAATTTTAATATAAATGTTCGATAGCTTGTGTAAGAATCTGATATTCAGAGACATTTGAGATTGTAAAATTTTGCGAAATTGTGGAGGTTTTTTGCATGTTCAGCAATAAAACTAGAAATGCTGACAAAAATATATTTTGAGGCTTAAAAATTTATGAATTTCTGGAAAGGAACTAAGCAGTTAAACACGTTTTTCGCCTTTCTCTTATCCCTAGCATCATAAAGTCCCTTATTCAAATAATCCACATCTAGCAATTCCATTTTATATGCACATACTCAATACAAAATCAAATAGAAAGCCAACAGCAGCAGCAACATTCAGGTCGCAACATACGGTTGACCAGATTGTATCAAATTGAAAATCACATCTGCCATTCGGTATCCGTACATGTTGGTTCAATAATTACACAGCTCTCGGTTCTTTTAAATCAAGAATTTTTAACTCAATTGCCAATAAAAATTCCCACCGAATAACTGTTTATGTACGGATGAAAAAAAAGTCCCTCCATGTTCAAAAATTCCAAAACAAGACAATTTAATTTTCCAAAAATGTTTCCGTGCGTCGACTTGACTAGCAAGTCGAGTCTATCCAAAAATTTTTTTAATTAATGGAAAAAAAGAAAGCGAAATTTTCGTGATAAAAAAATATTCAACAAAACCACTAAAACGGATTTTAAATTTCCGTTCATCATTTCCTTTTTAAAGTTTCAAAAGTATTTTTTTTTTTTGTTCGCTTCTTCCTTCCCCTATAGCAATGTGCATTGTCGGTGAGCAAAAAAAGGATAAAATTTTATTGATTTTTTTTTTCGCTTCTTTTGTTCTCGACATTTCCCATGCACAACTGCTGATGTTGTCTTTTATTGCTATAAATTTCTCTATTGATATGATCACACAGAAAAAATGAGTAAGGAAAGTTTTTAGGGAATGGATTGGATATGGTGAGTGCAATTTACTTGAGAACAATTTTGATTAATGGATGTTTAATTTGATGAAATTTGTGGATTTTTGTGAGGATTTGATTATGTGGTTAACTGAGTATTGACTGGTTTGTGATTCTCTTTACTATTGGAAGCTAGCATCAAGACGGATACACTCGAAAAAAAATGTTGGGATTTTCGGGATTAATCCAAGGGTGTGGAACTGAAGAAATAAATTTTGATCATTTTTGATCAATTTTGATAATTTTTGATAATTTTTGATCATTTCATCAGTACCACACCCTTGGATTAATCCCATAAATCCCAAGTGTATGCGCCTTGGCTAGCACTAGTGACTAGGTTTCACTTGCTTAACTAAAATGACATCTGGCATAAACTGTTAATTTTAACTTAACTAGTAGAAACTATGAATCTGTTAACGAGAACGACTGCAAGCTAATGCCTTGGATCTTTGTGTCAATTCTTACTGATATTGGCAATATTTTTTGTATTGATTAAGAACGGTCTCTAGTGGGAATCGAACCTTTGTCATCACAAAACATAGTAACAGATATTCAAACTGCTATCATACTACTTGTGTCACAGAGGTCTTAGTCTCGCACTGGCAGATTTGCCTACATTTTGATCGAAACCCATCAGAGATTCAGCTTTGACTCCATAGTCTCTTTTATATGAAAGTTTTAACCAAAAACAAATCTGATCTAATTACAGAGCTTAAGAAAACCATAATTGTATTCAGATGTAAAGAGGACATAGGAATATAAAATTATCAATTTATTCTGGGATCAAGACGATTGTCCATTGACATTTTTCCATTTTTCATTTGCCCATTGACATTTCTACTTCGATTTTTCCCCCAGTAGTACTTTTGTCCAATGGTATTTTTGCCCATCGATTGTTTGTTCTTTAATTATTAGCCTAATAATTTTTATAAGCTCATGAAAGTTGCATAAGCAATCCTGAATATGCACAAAAATGACTAAGAAGCCTAATTCAATGATTAAGAACCTAGTTCTTATATTCACAACCTTTAAATCCAATTGATGATATTTATACATCAATTATAGCTCATCCATGAGTCATACAAATAAATTTTTGAGAAGGTCATGGACAAATATTGTTGATATTTCAAAAAACTAATCACTCAGGTTAATTCAGGCATCGTCAATCCTCCCACTTCAATCAATAATTCAATAGAAACTAGCTATCAATAAGATTAATCCTATCAGAAATTTTCCCATTCAATCAATCCTCTCTTTCAACCTTGTTCAATCAACAAAAGCGAGTCTATCAATACATAAAAATTCCCCATTCATATCCAGTGCAAATAGAATAAATAAGTGAAATATTTTTCTACACAAAAAATTGCATTCTTTTTTTTATAGATAAAAAAAAGTCGACAACAAAAGCAAAAAAAAGTTTCAAACAATTTTTTTTTGCCTCAAATGTTTCTCATTCAATCTGCCGCCCATACATGTGGCAATAAATTTGCTCTTAAACGCATATATTTTCCCTGAATACGATTTTCATTTTCGACATGAACGGCAGCAGCAACAACAGCAGCGAGGAGAGAGAGAAGCAGCAGCAGCAAAAAAGAAATAACTTTGCTCTGTGAAAATGTGTATAAAATAAATCACATAGGTCGGCCATTTTGTATTTTTCCTCTCACTCTCTCATGACGTTCGTACATAAGAAAGTTTTTTTTATGTGTTTTTGCCTTCTTTCTTCTTATATACATGCTGCTTCTTATTTACCACATAGAGAGATGAAAAAGAAACTAAAAAGTTTTTTATTTTCTCGTCTTCTTCTTTTTTTCATTCAATTTTGAAGATGTTTTTTTTTGTGCTATGTGCTCTGTGCTCTTTCTGGTTATTTTTTTCACGTACCCGATAAAAATTTCTTATTCTTTCTTTTTAAATTGCTTGATTAATTTTTTTTGTGCTCCGCTCTTCGTGCAATTAAATGTACTTTGAGCTCCTTAAATGTGCACTCAATTTTTTTTTGTATGTACTAAGCATAATACACGCTTTATATATATGCTGAGCATGTGGCATGAGAAGGAAGTGCGAAAAAATATGCTATGTTGCCAAGTTTCACTATGCGTGATTTTACAGTAAATTATTATTGTTATTCTCGTATCAATTATGGCTATTTTTGTAGAATTGATTTTTTTTTATGTGGAATTTATGTTGGTCGATGAGTTATTAAAACTGTTCATTTTTGGATATGGAAAATGATGGATTCTTTATGGTTTAAATTTTATCGATTTTTATGAGGCATATTTATGTAATGGTTTTTGAAGTTAATTGTGGATTGTTGGGATGAATTTTTCAGGCAGATTTATTGGTCGTTATGGATATTTGACGATGGTAATTTTAATTTGCGTGTGTCTGTTGAGGTTTGTGGAATAATTTGAAAATTCTCATAGTTCTAGTTGGGTATTGTGGTCGATTAATTGAATTTGACTATATTGCACTAGACTTTAGTGAATAAAAGAATTTTTGAGCACATTAG